GTAGATTTTACTCTAGATACTGTTTTTTTTTCCACAGGAGATAGTGTGGAGTGCTAGTACTAGTTTGCTGCTAAGAGTGGTTTTTTGCGGTTTCAGGAAGAGCAGGTAACTCTTTGCCCTCCTTTGTGTCACTTCAGTTCTGGGACTTTGCCTTGAGGTAAAAGATGCTGGAGCTGAACCTGCTAGATGGAGAATATGAAGTTAGTATTAATTAATAGGTGATGCTAATCATGTGACATTGAAGCTGTCTGAGGAAGTGGGAATTAACACTTCATGATGTGTTTCTAAATGTCATTCCTAATTGTATCACCAGGATTGCTCACCATCTGTCAGCCAGGTAGGAAGGTTATTTTTACGTGTACCAGGGCTGTGGTAAGAAAGTGAATGCACTAACTCTGTTTGGGGCAGATGCTTATTAAAAAAAGGTTGAGTTAAGTTAAACTGTGTTGCTTTCACAGGTGCGGCCCTTGTTTAAGGATAGCCCCAGCTTTCAATGCTCTGAGTAACAAATATCCCCAGGCAACTTTTTTGGAAGTGGATGTGCATCAATGCCAGGTTAGTATGTGAAAACCCGTCTTCGGTTGTGAGAGAGAGAGCAGATAACGTCGTGAATGGGAAACAAAGGAACACTGTCCCGACAGTGTGTGCTACGAGTAGTGTCCTATGGCTGTTGACATGTTTGGTGAATCACAAATACTCATATTGTGAAATTCTCCAAAATTCGGATATGCCCAAAGATGTGAACAAACAACAGTATTGTTGCGGTTGCCACCGTGGTGTCCTTCATTTGAGCGGTGTGCAGGGCGTTTAACCGCTCCTGCTGCTCGTCCTGTTCAGGTAATACTGTTAGATGTAGGCGGGAGCACCGGCAGGAATTAAAAAGTCTTCACAAACAAATATTGGCATAATTATTGAATAAAATGAAAGCGCAATAAACTGATATGATTAGTGGGACTAGATTTCTCTCAAGTACTACTCAACTGTTTTTAACAGACAACAGAGTTGCAGGTGAGCTATTGATTGACTTACGAGTCGTTAATGAAAATTAACAATGGTATGTTGAAAGGAAGCACCTTGAATTGGTACAAGCCATAATGGAGAGAGATGAACATCAAAGCAGTAACAATGTTTGCAAATGACACTGGAATTATGGAAAGTTTTGGGAAAACTACAGTGGGTGCCTGACGGGTATGGATACAGGTAGAAATCAATTGGCATTCACCTTCTGCAGCAGCAGGCTGGGATTCCTGGGTGTGCAGGGATGTGGCTTGGGAGAGGAAGGGGTGCAGGTGTGGAGGAAGCTTGTAAAAGACCCGTGTTAAGTTAAGCCATCCTCCCCTTCCAAGAGCAAAACAGGCAATAGGGTTTTTATGGTGTACCAGCAAATCCACTGGCGAGGTGAAGTCTATTTGAAGAATGCCCCAATGTGTAAAGGATTAGGAGGATCTGAAGAACTTAACTTAAAAACGCTGTCTGAGTTAAAGCTGTTTATAAAATAACAAATATTGCTTGTGTTGTTTGAGGTGACGAAGCTTGATTAGTGTCCAGTGTGTGCATTCTGATCAGGGTGAAGCGAGCTCCTGCTTCTGCCCAGTACCGGTAATGCTCTGTCGGGTAACACTTGTGACTGATTTGTGCATTCTAGGGAACAGCTGCTACCAATAATATATCAGCCACACCGACATTTCTGTTTTTCCGAAACAAAGTGCGAATCGACCAGTATCAAGGAGCAGATGCTGTGGGTTTAGAAGAAAAAATTAAACAGCACCTGGAGAACGATCCTGGAAACAACGAAGATACAGATATCCCAAAAGGATATGTATGCATCTCTTAAGATAACTTTTTTTAATGTTTGTGTGACTTAAATGTTTAAAAAACCCCATTTGCTTTCTAAACTCTTTAAGTTTGTTGCAACTCTTGTTGCTTTCTAAACTCTTAAGTCAAATAATACTACCTTAGGCAGAACTGCAAGTTCCCCATGGCTTTGAGAAGATCACTTCTCTGGGTTTCCTTTTTCAGACAAAGTTAAAAAATTGACGTGTACATATTTAGTAAGTATGGTTATAGAACTGTAAAACATTTTAACAGAAATCTCCAGGGATAATACTTAGCCATGAAAATAGTGAATTTAATGTTTTCTGATTAACTTTTTGCTGCAGCTGCTTATTCTGCTGCTTTGTTCTCTGACATCCCAGTCTGTCTTGCCAAAATGTTTTTTGAAGTGTAAAGATGTCCATGGGAAAAGACCTTGTTAGACACTGTTGTCAAAAATACAGAGAAGTTGCTCCAGTTGTTCCTTAAGAAATGCTCTATGCTGTTTCTGTGGTGCTAGGTGCATTTGGGGTGTTCCTTATTCCTTCTTGCTCCCTACCCTTTCCTTAATCCTTCTTATTTCATCTCTTAAGAAGAGGGAGAGATTCTGTTGCCAAAGGAATTAACCTTCATAGCAGTTCAGCTCCATCTTCCTCTACAGCACCTTGCCCTGAAAACAGGATGCCTTTCGGAGGGTATCGTTAGATACACAGGATCTCGGGATATATTTTTCTTTTGCCTGACGGTACTGCCAAGAGTTCTCTTTAGGTTTCTTCTCGGCTGTAGAAGAATGACAAGGATGCCAAAAATATGTCACAGGAATTACTTGGAAAAGATTATGTGCCTGGTCTGAGTGGCACACAAGAATTGTGTCTTGCTGGTTGTGCGTTTGCTTTCAATTTAACGCCTGACGGTACCGTTCCGCTCCTGTACGGGCACCGCAGATCACCCCAGTAACCGCTGGTCAGGCATTCACGGGCGACGTAAACTGAGGAAACGACTTGTAACTCCTTAGTCGTTTGTAAAAAAGGGAGAGTGAACATTCCTAAATGGATGTTCTCAAACGGAATGATTTTTTTTTTAAACCTTGCATCAAAATCTCTCGTAACTAAAGTCTGACTTGAGCATTTTCTTCTGAAGAATTTAAAAACTGGTATTCATGAACAGGTGGTTTTTTTATCATTGCATGATTTTTGCATGTTTTCTAGGTAAATTGAAACTTTGTAGGGATACTTGAGGTTCTGGCCAAAATTTCAATAAGGGAGCAATCTCCTTAGAAATATTGGTGTTCTCAGGGAACGATTTTCACCATGTTCTGTGTGTTTTCATGTTACCTCAAGGCGATGGTGTGTTGCAAATCATCAGCCTGTCTGACAGCTGCACGGACACACACATGTAAATGAGAACTCTCATGTGACGAAATGCTTCCCTAGAGCTGCCTCTTAGGTGGTACTCTGCAAGCAATCCTGGGTGTAACTCTGCTCCCTAAAGGAAGTTGTCGGTTGTTCCACCAACAGTACAAACACAGGAGTTACGTGGTGTATTGCGTTTCGCCTACGTCACGCATCACAGTCCCTAGCTGCTGTAGTGGGCACGTTACTTTACATTAGCAAATCCAGTACATTGGACTTAGCTGCCATGAGTATCCCTAGAACCCCAAATTACGTTGTGAAATGCAAACCCAGGTTTTTTTGGAGGTGAAGTATTTTAGATTCATAGCTAGCCATATGCTATCGGGCAAATGGAAGCAGGGTGCAAGTCCAGCTGAATATTTCTCATTTAAATAAACTGCAAGGGCGCAGGTCACTGGAATTCCTGGCAGTTCAGCCGTTTGCTAAGTGTTCCGTGGCATGCATGGCACTGCCCTTTGTGTGAGCGTTTATAGTTATTGCGAAATCCTCTGTGGACCCGCGGAATGGCGGAAGATGGAGGTTCGGCTTGTTAGCTCTGGAGCCCTGAACACACTTAAAGTCATTCAAGTGGCAAGTTCAGGTCTGCTCAGTCAGATTGGTTTTGAGATGAAGGTGCCATCTTCTATTAACAGTTAATCTTGTAGGAGGTGGTGCCTTACCCCTAGGAATGAAGTCCTGACTCTGTTCCGGGCTGTAGGAGCCAGAAGGAATTCTGTCTGACCCGTGAGCAGTAGGCTGAAACGGGGGTTTAGGATATGCCTGACCCAAACGGGGCTGTCGCTGGCTCCGGGAAGGTGCCCTCGTTCTCCTGCGCGGCGGTGTGTGCCTTCTCCTTGCTTGCCTGATCTCTACGAGCTTGGATGTTGGGAGGGGGCAGGTGGCTTTTGGTTGGAATAGCAGTGGCAAGAGCGAAGGCCAGTGGCATACAGGAAACCAGTCGTATCCTCTCAGCAACCTGTTTTCGGGTTGTGGGTGTACTCTGGAGCTGTGGCCTGTAGTGGTGTGTGCAGTAGTTTTCTGCACTTTCTTTCAAGAGCAGTGTATTATTCTTTGGGACCCAATATAGGCCTTGAAGGGTATTTTGGGTTGCCGTCCTAAAAGTTCCTTTAGTTTCTCGTATCTGGACCGTTCTATGACTGTACCCTGGTCTTGAACTTGTATTGTTACAGTGTGAGATGTTGGTACTCAGGCCTCAAGATATGAGATGCTTGATTTTTAGCCTGGCTTATCATGCTTCTATTGGACTTAGTTTACTTTAGCTGCAGGCAAAAAAAAATCCTGGTTATCTGGGAATTGATACAGATTATGCTGCCTTTGCAGTAATGCGACCTTTTAAATGGCTTGGAGCGTGGATAGCGGTCCGCTTTAATCTGAGAATGCATATATGTTAAAGCTCTTAGCTGGAGCCCTTACAGGAGAGCTGAGCACCTAAACAAACTGGTTCCTGGTGAATAGTGTAGCTTCTGTTTCCATTTGTCCTGTGTTTTTACCAAGGTATGTGGAGAAAGGAGTAGGAGAAGGGAGAGAGAAAAGGTTTCATGAAGTTGACTTGTACACAGTGCTGAAGAAGAAGTAAAATAAAACTAGCTTTGCATGTAAAGCCTGGTGAGAACTGTAGTGGTGGTCTTTTAATTTGTTCTGCAATGGACAGTGTATTTTCAGGGAGGCGGATTTCTGTGTTTATTTTTGCTTTCATTAAGGTGATCCTGGCTCCAGTCTAATGTCAGTTCGTGGTGTGGCTTGGGATGCTGTAGTCTTGTTCGTTAAAAGAGTGCCTGAAAGGTCTCCCTGTGCCCTTCTCAGAAGGGCAAGGATGCGTTCAGGGGTGCAGGATTCTGAATGGAGGAGGAAAATGTCGTGCAGTTATGAGCGGGATACCTCAGAGTACTACGGTATTGGTGGGTTTTGTTTGTAATGTCTTTTGATCTAAACCCCTGAGGTTTTCTGTGTGTCTTGTTATTTTAATCTGTTGAATGAAGAATTTCATTCATTCCAGCGCTTGCTAATCCCAGGTGAGCTCAGGGCGCACTTACCGTGCGCTCAGCAACGCTCTTGCCTTTCCTTTCAGATGGATTTAATGCCGTTTATCAATAAAGCCGGCTGTGAATGTCTCAATGAGAGTGACGAGCACGGGTTTGATAATTGTTTACGTAAAGACTCGACCTACTTGGAATCCGACTGTGACGAGCAGGTACAGTAGATATTTTTAGGTGAGATATTTGCCATGGTGGTCTGGTCTGCAAGCGTGTTTTGAAGAACTTGGCTACTTTATCCTATTACAGTAGCATCAGTAAGAGTGGGAGATGGTAGTAGGGTGTAAGTAAAATCAGTATGCAGAGGTCATTGTAGTGTTTCCAGATTCGCATCCCTTTGTGTGTGGAAAAAATTGCAAGTCAAGTAGCATTTGGTGGTGGTTCAAAGTGACAGACTAGTGCATGTGTGGAATATAGTGAAGGTAAGTACCTAACTTTTTTTCAAAGCTCAGGCTTATTTCTCGTTAGTTACTGTGCTATGTTTGTTTTTAAGAGTGAAGACAATGGTGTTTTAACAGCAGCTTTCTTTCTCCACAGCTGCTTATTACTGTAGCTTTTAGTCAACCTGTCAAGCTTTATTCGATGAAACTTCAGGGGCCAGATAATGGTGAGTGAAGTGTCGGTTGAATCATATCTTTGAAGCTGAAGCTTTGCCCTGTTTAGCTGAATTTTCCAAAAATGACACTGCTGTCCCTGGAACCTTTGACCTTCTGAGAATCCCGCAGCAACTTCAGTAAATTGGTTTTAAATAAATTCCATAACAAATTATCTCGTTCCTTTTTCACTGACCTCACGTGTGGGTGTTTGGTAGGATGCAAATACAAGTATTTATTACAGTTTGATGTGCTGGAAGGAGAACTTAGATGGAATTCAAAAGTTAATGTGAGAGGTACTGAAAGGTACAGCTTAGTTTTTATGGTAACTCGGTTTACGTTATGAAATTACATAAAATGTTCAGGTGTTACATGACGCAGCAAAACTATTTTTAGACTTTTTATTGGCATTTTTTTGTGGAATTGTGTCTCTGACACGTAGAGAAGTGGTGCAGCTTTGGGTGTCCTTCAGTACCCGGGGTGGTGATGTGGGATTGGCAGATGAGGTACTAGAACTAGCCTCGTGCCTTCCTCGAGCAGTGTCTAGAGACTGCGATAAGTGAGGGCTTCCCAAGCAGGGTTTTGGAAATATCCTTAATCGATGGCACACCACTGCTGTGTTCTGACACAGGGCAAGGTCCGAAGTACATCAAAATCTTTATCAACCTGCCTCGATCTATGGATTTTGAAGAAGCAGAAAGAAGCGAACCGACTCAAGCCCTGGAGCTGACACCAGATGACATTAAAGAAGATGGTATTGTGCAGCTTCGCTATGTGAAATTTCAGAATGTTAACAGCGTAACCGTAAGTAAAGTTCCTGTTCCGAGGTCTGTGCGGGCCGAAAACTTCACGGGCTTTTACAGCACTGTGCACGTCTGTGGATTCACTGCAAGTGTCCCTAGTTTCTCTGCCGGTTGCTTACTGCGTGTTTATGTTAAAAGTGTGTCAGGAATGTGAGGTGGAACAAGGGTGTGCGCGTGTGATGTCTCTTTTGACCTCGTACGTGACCTAAGGTTTGCCTTGGCTTCTTCAGTGCTGGTGTGCTGTTTGACACAGCTGGGCGTCTTTACCAACGCGCTGTCTTGAAAGGCACCTTGTCTTCATTTGAAGAGTGAAGGAATCCAGCTCCTCGGTAATCTGCCTGCAGAAATGACAGGGTTCTCTGAGCATCGAGTGGAGCACTTGCGGAGTCTTTGAACTCGGTACCTGCTCTCTGTGAGGGTTCTTAAGTGCTGTAATCAAATCACCTTTGTGTCTTAACGAGCGCTCTAATTCTCTTGCTGAAAGAGACAGATTTCACATAGGGCTTTTGACTCTTGAATGCAAGTGGGGTTTCTCCTCTTCCATTTTAAAAATACAGGTTCTGGCGCAATATGTGCGGTGACTAAGTTGATGTTGAAGTGCTTTGTGCTTGGCATCATCCTGGTGCCGCGCTAGCCCTGTTTCCTGCAGTATTGTCTTGAACTGTTTTTCCAGTATGACCCCTGAATTCTTTTTTTATGGAAATGCCTTTCGTGGCTCGAATTATGCATCTGCAAATGTATGGACTTACAGTTGACTGATTTAAACTGTGGTTTAGTGGGCTGGCCCCTGAAATCACCAGCTGCTTAGGAGTTACAGGTACCTCCAAGACATTGATCCACCCTTGATCGTTTAATCACACCTTTTCTTCTGTAAAAAGGTCTCTGGTAAATTTCTGAATTGCTCTTTGTGGACTGCATTTTAGATCAGTCAGCTACTTTCATGTTTAGTAACGTTTTACTAGCAGTTATTTTTAACTGTGAAGGGAGGCAAACCTAAATAACTCCTCCTTGTGTCGGTTGTTTCTGTGGAGGTAATGTTCTGACCAACTTTGCCCTCTTCCGAGGGAAATGGAGATCGGTCGCATAGGCTTATGTTGTACAAAGCTGTGCTGACAAGTACAAGTTATGTATTTGTTCTTTAATAAGATCCTGTGTCAGCTTTGGACAGGATGATGTGCAAACACCAGACAAGTGATAAGGTGATTAAATAGATGTTCTGCTTGTTTGCACTCTTTGCATGTAGCACTCCTCTAGTTTCCTCCCTGAACCTGGATTCCGTATTTAAGGCTTCATAAAAATGAGATGGCCAGCCGTCTCGTCCCCTACCTGCCTTTTTGGTGGAGCTGGTGAAGTTCTGCTCACTTATGTAGTCCTGTGGATAAAAGTCTCCCATTTAGCGCCTAATGAACTGGAGGAGGCCCAGTTGTCATAGACACAAATGGTTCTGCCTTTCTGCCGTGTTCGATAAGTATTTCTGATTATACGTTTCCATGTCAGTATTAGCAAGTTCGTACTGCATTTATATGTATCGCTGCTAGGTTTGTTAGCTTTAACTTCTTTGGCTTATTAACTCTATACCCTGTAGTTTCTCATCCCTGTAATTCAGCAAATCTAATGCTGGGTATCCCTGTTCGTAGTGTGCTTCTCTTTACTGCTACTTCAGTGGTGCTTGTTTTTCTCTGTAAGTATCATTGCTGAGACAGAATCTCTGAACACATTGCAGCTCGCCTCTGTTCAACAGAGGCTGGTCCTTGACGTGCTCTTCTGTTTCGTTCTGTTGGAGGAGTGCTTTCCTCAGCATTCCCCTCACCTTCCTCACTCTCGCCTTCCATACATCTTGTTTGTACAGGGCAAGACACGATCTTGCAGCTGCAGGGCAGCCTCTTGGAGGGCAACGTGTGTACTGGTTGAGACCAGCAATCCATCTTGCTTGTCACGCGCTTGCAAGCATCTGGTGTTGTCAGAAAGAATTTTCTAAGTACAGGGCGAGCATGTAGCGATGTGCACCCTGCAGCACTTGGTGGTCTGTGGCACAGGCTGTTTCTGAGGCAGAGGGCATCTTCGTAGATCCTGGCTGTGGCTTATGGAAGGGGCGTGATGCGTGCTGACCCTGGCCCGCCTGTGGTCCTCCCTCTCCTTTCTTTGCTGCTGGCGCCACTACTCGCTCGCTGTCTCGTTCCTCCATTCTCCGTGCTCACGATAAAGTGTGGAAAGATCCACCAGCACCTCACTGCTCTTCTGACGCCAGGCTCCTTACTCATAGTACTTCATGCAAAAAATTGTTCTTTCGTTTGTCCGCTTTAGAACGTGTAGTGGTTCCAGCAGTAATTCCTTATTTAGTGTTTCAAAAGAAGCTTGGTATTTGTTTGAAACCCTAAAATAACTTCATAGAGCCAGTATTCATGCTGTAAAACACATAATTATGCAAGCTGTAGTAGTAAGCTACACATGAATGGTCTAAGGAGCTTCAGCAAACATAGTTAAGTTGATATTTAACTTAATTTCAAGTCAGATTTCAGTGAATAGTGAATTGTGACTTCTTAGATGTTGGTTTTGCTTGTTGAATGTGGTCTCGGGTCAGAAGTGGAAGCTGGGAAAGGCCAAGCTGTGTGGGTTTTTTAGCAAACTGCCAGGACAATAATAGCATTCTATGTAATCACTATTTAAAATAAGAGGACAGTATCTTCTCTAGAAGAGGCCTTTTTTATTGGAAAAGGTGTTAATTTGGTTAGTCCAAAAATCTTGGGCACCTAACGTTTTATGTATTAGTTAGGGATGGGCAGTTTACCTTAACTCTTGTGTTTGGGTTTTTTTTTCCCTTCAGTTGTTTGTCCAGTCCAATCATGGTGATGAAGAGACAACAAGAATTACGTACTTCACGTTTATTGGAACTCCGGTCCAAGCAACAAATATGAATGACTTCAAGCGAGTGAGTCCTCTTGCTTAAAATCACTTTGTACTGTTTTGAACCTACTCGGAAACGGGCTGATGTAACAAATACACTTGGCTGTTAGTACAGTTCCACAACTTAAGGCGATTTTGGCATCCGAAAGAAAATGTGTAGGTTTATCTTAAAGATCTTTGGTCTTGCTTACAAGTTTTTGTTCATCAGCTTCGTAAAAATAACTGATAAGGACGTGTATATGAGATCTTGAGGGACTGTCAAGTTGTATCACTGTAGACAATGTTGGGTTTTTTGACAGCTGGGAGATTTATGTCTTGATTTTGAAACTTGCTTACTGATGGTGTTCAGGAAGTAGAGAAGCAATTGCGTGTACAAATTAGGCTCCTTATGATTGACTTGACTTCTGTTTTGAAGGATTTTATTCACTGGGCAGCATTAAGCTTGAGATCTGAAAAGTATTTGTCAGAAGGTGTCTGCTATACTAAACATACCTGCTTTTTAAAGAGGGAATGAAGGGGCAAACAAGTTGTTATGGTATGACCTTAGACATGCTACTGCTGAGCAATAGGGCACTCTCGATTATTTTTTTTTTTTGAGAGTGTGAAATGGGTTTGAAAGGATTAAAACTATAAAGCTACTTGCAACTTTTTCAAATGGAATAAGTCTTTTTAAAATAAACTGCTTTAAAACTTAATAGCCTCTGTAGAAGGGCAAATGGTGCTGTAACACCTGCCCACAAACTGCCGTGTAGGTGACCAGTAACGTCAAAAGCACCACAGAATGTTGTACAAGTAACCCGTAACGTCAGAAGGTTCAAAGCACTAACGCTTCCCAATGTGTCATGTACTTGGAATTTTTAACGTCGAAAGTTGATCTTAACTGCTACACGTAAAACTTAATAGCTTTGCAGGTAATAATTAAGTTAATACACAGAAGTT